CCAGCTCACTCTGCACCAGCTTACACAGCACCCGCTCACTCTGCACCAGCTTACTCTGCACCAGCTTACTCAGCACCCACTCACTCTGCACCAGCTTACTCCACTCCAGCCTACAAGCCAGCTTACTCCGCACCCGCATACCCTGCACCAGCTCACTCTGCACCAGCTTACTCAGCACCAGCTTACACAGCACCCGCACACTCTGCACCAGCTTACTCAGCGCCCGCACACTCTGCACCAGCTCACTCTGCATCCGCCTACTCCACTCCAGCCTACAAACCAGCATACTAATTTGATTCGTAGTGTAATCAACTTTCCTCCATTTTATTTTCACATTTTTTTCATGCACCATTCAACTATGGTGTTCTCGTCGAACCATGGTTACCATCTTAAACATTACCTCATTAATATCGAAAATACTTAGTGTGATTATTGTATTTATTGTTTAAATAAATGCATACAAAAATGTATTTATTATATACCTAACTCTGTGTTTTTTTTATTTATCATTTATTGTCTACGTATAGCAATATAAGCCACTGATACTGTAATTATGGTGATTGAACAAATCGAACGTGGTTGATAAGTCTAATAGTGATCCTACAGTATTAGCTAATCGAAATGCTTACTCAGCTGTCCTAATGATCTACTACAAACCTATCGTCAATTGTTTAAATCTTTTTCAATTTTTTATGGTGAGCTGCATTTTTACAATTGAAATTAACAAAACTACTCAAAGTTGGTTTTTTTATTTATTCACATATTGTTAATTTATGATATACTTACAGAAGAATCACATGATATTATAATATGCTGTGACAAGATAAATGTTTCAAATTTTTTACTGTGGATATTGAATTTTTCATAATATGTTTGGATAATGTCTGTGTTCTAAGCGTATATTGTTGAATATACTTCTGGTTTCGGTAAATATGATTTTAGCACCGAAATCAATTGAAGGTTATATCATGTATCGTGTTCAACCTAGATTGCTAGCATTGCTGTCTACTTGGCGTCCATATAGTATAATATACTCAATAGCTAAGCATACTTAACAATGCGTATTCGCCATTAAAACAATGATAAGCTAATAATTCTTGTATGTTTATTGTAGTTCTCAATAAATCATAATATTGTATCTCGTGTTGACTATTACGAGGCATTGTAAACCTATAGTGCATATAAGGACTATAGGGTTACCTAACCCGTTACAGCTATTGTTTCAACAACAGTTGTTAGTGAAGCTTGGTGCGATTCTGGACACGTATATTTCATAAAATATTGAAATACAAAAATTGCTATGCTGATCGGAAATTCTATAGTGAACCTACATTATAAAGATAACCTATACATTTTTAATGTTTGAATATAGAAATATTCTCAAACAAAAATAAATATAATATTCGTAAATTATTGCTTATTATAGCATCAAGAGAATGTTACATCGAGCGATGTAAATTATATAGATCATCAGATAGTTTGTCATAATGCCCAAAAAATACTCGTATCATACAATACCTATATGATTTCACACAATGTAAAAAATAAAAAATAAACAGATAAATAATAAACACAAATAATTAGTAAAATTAAGTATTTATTTAAATAATAAATCAATTACAGCATCATTTTATAAACAAGTGGTCAAGTATTTTTGATAGTTGATATGTTTCTCGTTATCAACCACGTGAATTAAAACAATTTAAACAAAGATTTGCATGGAGATTTAATTAATACGCATTTTATGAGCCCTGGGTATAGCTAAGTAGCTTGGATGTAATAGGCAAATCTTTTGTCTGGTGCAGAGTGTGTGGACGCAGAGTATGTGGCAGTGGACTTAGCTGACTTGTAAGCTAAACTATACGGCGGTGTCTTGTATCCTTAGCTTTGTTCTTCGATTTTCTTGAGTTCAGCGTTAAACCACTTTGGTCATCGGCAGCGCATTCGACGACACCGTTGGAACTGTCGGCTTTTAAAAGGCTATAAGTTTCTTTGACGTCACTATTTTCGTCACTTTACTCGGATTGGCGTTTACGCTGTACTTAAAGTTGTAGTTGGTTGAGCAGGTACGCGTATTTAAATTGAGCGCAAATTTAATAATTCTCTGGATATGCTGTGGTGGTGTATTGAGTGAGTGTGGTGGCCACGCAGGTGGCGAAAATGATCATCTGCAATAAAAGTGTTAAGATTAAAAACGCAAAATGAACATTGTTTTAAGATAAATGTTTTTAGATACAATATTTAACAAAGGCACAAGTACCTTAACGGCCATTTCGTATACCTAAGTGTGTTTTTCAACTGAATTCTTGGTTTTGTGTAGATTAAGAACTGAATATGTAAATCCACTAACATTGATTCTTCATATTTATGTCGAGTGATCAATAAAAATATGGTATCCCTACAAAACTTCAAATTTTAAACGCATAATATATATTGTTCTACAAACGGATGTATATCATCACTTAATTGTGTGCTTTAAACAATTAAACATTTTATAAATTTACTCACACACACACCAATTTGATAATTAGTCCTTTCCAATAAAGTGATGTATGTAATTATTAGTTGCCATTCGTTAAAGAATTTTAAGTATCTATTCTATTATAGATTCAATCACAAGATGCAATTGCAATGGTCAATACAGAATACAGAATTCATATAAATACGGAACCTAAGAATACGATATCAGTTAAAAAGCATATACTCGTTCACAACACAAAAAAAAATGATTTAAAACATCATGGCCGTAAAGGTACCTACATAAGATTTTTGATAATTTATCTAATAACAAACTTATAACCGTACAATTTTAGTTTTACAATTTTAATTGTAAAATCTGGGTTTTCAATAAAATAAATAAAATTTGATAGTCATCATTTTATTTCCAATGTTCATTTTCGCCGTCTGCATAGCTCCGTATTCGCCCAATATGCCACTCCAGTTTATCCAACATGACATGTGTGTTCTCAATCTGAACACTCGTACACTGAAACCTGTACAACTTCGTATACAGCGCAAACGACCTACACAATTACGACGTGCATAGCCCAATCCAACCGCTCATCTAAACTTAAAATATTTAAAACTCATAAACTACTAGTCCTAATTCTAAATTCGATTATTATTTATCAAAATATACTCGAAGATTAAATTCAAATTGTATGCTGTCATTCAAAAATTAAATGCGTAAAAAATTATAAGGATATAAAATATTTAAAATAATTAAAATTTCTCTTAAAATAATAATCAGTAGTTCGTGATAATATAATCACGCTGTATAAATATAATAGTAATTATTAGCTATGTAATACATAATATACTGAACAAATAATGAATTCATGCGGTCTATGAATATACTTCGTATATTATATTCAATTTCAAATAAATATCTACTTAAAATATTTACTTAATTTCTACAAATGTAATAAAAACATAGCATAATACATTAATACAATAATATATTCATCAGTTTTACCTACAAATCATTTAATAAAATTATCAGTTGATTACTATAGATATTACGCTATCACAGCTTTAAATATTCCCTTGAAAATATCGTAAAATAATATGCTATATGTGTAATATTGTAATTTCAACTTATTATGGTTCTCTAATACACTAAAATTATCCAAAAAAATATAACACTGACCTCTGGATGTCTGCATTGAATTAACAATCCATAAAAACTTTAATGAACTACTTTTATTTATTTTTATTCCAAGATATATAAAATAAAAATGTTCATTATTTAGGATTCATTATATGTTTTTTTTCTCTTAGAAGCTAAAAATTGTAAAGTAATAAAAACAAGAATAACTCATATTAATTATGTTAACTTTATAGTTTGTATATACATTTTTTTCTGTTAATTAATTTGCCATTATAAATTCTTAACATTTTAGTTAGATTTTATGCGCATATGCGATTATGCTTGTTTTGAACTAAATTTTAATTTAAAATGTGTATTATTAAGTTTATAATTATTATATTATTAATAATGATTAATTAAATTGAATTATTTCATAAATTAAACAATCTCTACAAATCTAGGTACAATCAAGAGTTTATTTTTATTTTTAAAGAAAAATATTAACGTACTGACTTTGAATTGTTTTAAACTCAATGTTCGAATTTCACACTTAAACAAAAATAACGATATATTATATATAAATACTATTTAAACTGGTAGTAAGGATAAAGTTTATTTTGATTGATTTGGCATTGCATTATTAAATTATTTTATGCATAATATTACGGTAGAAAAATCATTAAAATTGCTTGCAACACGTTTTGTATAAATAAACATATTATAGTGTGCCCTTTAAAAAAGTTACCAAGAAAATTGCGATGAAAATCGAAAATAGAAATTAAAACAATTTGCGGAAAAATTCAAATATTATATTTGAAAATAATTGACAAGAAAGCAGGAGAGATCTTTAATTTAAGAAGGGATTTCACCATACTGAAAAGTATAATGTATTTAGAGGGCGCAGCAATAGTTGCAGCAATAGTGTTAAAAACGAAAAATTTAATTATTAGTTATGAACACAACCGGTTACAATCAGACATAATTTGCGTTTATCTAATTACTAATTAGGGCTGGTAACTAGAAGGGAAGTAATCGATACATTCATTTTGCTTAAATACGGACAATCAGTAGTGATTTTTTATCAGTTTCAATTCATAGAACAATGCATATACAGCAAAGTAAAAAAAAAAAACTACAAAATGGCAGCTAAGGAATTTCGAACCATATATTAAAAATTATTGAAATTATCTGGAAGCCGACGGTTCTACCCACGTCATCGAATACACCGATGATGACCACAGCGATTTCAACGCCGAAGTCAAGGAAATTGAAGGACATAGTCACGGTTACAGTGCACCAGCCTACAAATCCACGCCGGCTTCATACGCTGCAAACACTTATGCCTTAGCTGTCCATGCTACAAGAGTGTGTACTCTTACACTTTTTCAGTTTACTCTTACTCCACCTCGGCTTACAAACTAGTTGCATACAAGGCATATTAATAATTTTTATTATTCGTCCACGCGAAGCCGTGGATTTTTGTTGTTAACTTATAATCAGAGCCCCTAACAAAAGTCGTCACATATACGATACATTTAACTGTACGACAGTGTGTAGAACTTAACAACATGTAGACCATGACAAAATAGGTCTAAAATATAATCTATTTTATAACGGTTTAAACGTTAACAAGTGTATAACGAAATAAAGTTTGAGCGTGCATAAAACCTAGACTACAATAATATATGAATACGTACGAGACTATGGGTGGTCAGTAATGCATCAACAAAAGGGGGTAGCCGCTGCAACTGTTGCAGTAAAAAAAAGTCGATATTATTATCGTTTGTAACACAATCAATAAAAAATATTTAATCGAATAAATATTAATTATTTAAGTTAATGAATTTACGATATTCGTCTAAATATCAAAAATCTAATAAATAATTATTTGGAACTTATTGAGAAATAAGGTATTATGTCGTATAATAGGTTCGATCAAAATGTAATAAAAATATTTTAGTTATAAAATTTTCACTATATTATCGAAATGAAGAATTACATGTTGTAGGTACATATTATTATAAACTTTAATAGATATTTAAATATGTATAAAATATATATATATAGGTATAGGTGTATTGTGTACAATGTATTTACAGTAACGTAATTTGGTCAGGTTAGTGGGAGGCCCTTTGTAGAAACATTTCCTTCCCCACGAAAAATAACTAGACCAATTTTAAACTATTATTAATACTACAAACACAATCAGACCGTTTTGACGGAACTTATACGTTAATAATTATAACACATGATACATAATATTTAAATATTATTATAATTAATAATATGATATAATATGTGATGATTTCGGGAAAATTAGTTTAATACATATTAAGTAATTTAAAATTATTATTACTTATAAAAAAAATCAATAAATTATAAAATATAATAGCCTTTAATATACAACCTGACAAAGGTCGTCATTCTAATGAATTATTATTTTCGTATATTATGCAATAATGGTATTAAAGTTTAACAGATCCATTAGAGTAACCTACTCAATGACGTGGTACTTTTATAACCTACTATACTGCACAACTACTTCCTGGTTTTTTTAATTACAATACACGTTATAACAATATGTGTCAAAAAGTTCGGACTGACAGACTACATAGACTGCACACAACCCAATTCACTTCGTTCGTCACAGTACAAGCCATATTTTATCGTGTTTTGAAAGCTACACTTAAATTAAATTAAAAATATACTATATTGATGGTAATTTAATTAATTACTGCGTTGTTTTAAAAAGTGCTTGAAAACATAAAAACTTAATCCACTTGTCTATATATTTTATTAAATTATATTTCAAATACACATCGTAAAAAAAAAATTATATCCTGTGATGAAACTGATTATAAAATAACCGGGAAAGTCGTTGTGCTATATAGTAGATTTAAAGTGCACATTGTCATGTACTAATATAGATGTATTCAATTTGGATTCAATGATAATTCATTACATACAAAAATACAATTCTGCGAATTGAAAAAAATATATAAAAAAGTTCAGCCGTCTAAATATTTCACGTAAACCATTAACATATAACGAAAATGAAATAATAATAAAAAATATTTATACGTCATAATAATATGTAAACTTATTTGGTAAAAAATTCAAGTCACTAAAGGAATTAAAAAAAAAAAAAAAAAACAATTAAACACAATTATTTTTATTAAAAACTGGTTCAGTGTAAATATTCACATTATTCGTATTTTTATTGTTCACCTATTATTTTAAAATAACTGGGATATTTTATTTATGATTCAACCTTCCACCACTTCTCAATCATAAAAACTCAACTAAAAATATAAGACTCATTTGATCTAGCTCCAAATTTATACCAGGAAAATATACCTTCAAAATTAAAAATTGAAATATTTATCCAAAGGTAGTTTTAATAATAATTATACAACATATATAATAATTAAAATTCAAGTTTATAGTAAGGATCATTCATTCATTGCTCCYTTCAGATTCTAAAACGAAATCATTAAAGTTGAAAAAAAAAACTTTAGTTTAAATTTGAATATTATTAGTTAAATCATAAGAAAATACTGTGGAGATATTTATTTTACACTATTTACCTAATAATAAAATAAATGTATTTCAATAATTAGTATGTTAGCAATCGATGTAAGATTTGCATTGGTGTTTTCAAACAAGAAGTAGATAATTAACAAGATTGTTTCTGAATGGTTGTAAGGTAATTAGTTTTTGTGGTACATTTCCGAAATCATCGTTTTAATTTTAGGGTTTGAAAATAACTTATGAAAATATAAAAGTCCTTCAAAATTTCAATGAAATTACTATACATCGTTGTGTATTTATGTCAGACCAATTTATTGGAAAGGAACATTTAGCATAAATATGGTAACTGAATTAATGTTAAAAAAGAAAAAATAGGAAAGAATAATAATATACATTGTATGCAACCGGTTATAACATAATAATATAATGACATAAACTCACTAAATTCAGTTATTGGTAGGGATGCAATTATAACTTTCCGTCAACATAAATACGGAGAATCACAATTGAGTTTCTATCAGTTCCAATACATAGATCAAAGTGCAAACAACACAGTTCAACAACACCAAAAAAACAATCAACAATAAAAATGGCCGTCAAGGTATATAGATTCTGTTAGATATACTTATAAAGTGTGATAGCTAACGATAATTGTTTTTCAAAATTGTTAATTTCTATTTTTTTCTTTATAGAAATTCTATTAACAAAAAAAAAATAAATAAAAAAATAGGTACTAAAATACTTAAAATTCTATACTAACCGCGGTTTTTTTTTTTTTAAATGATATTTCAGATGATCATTTTCGCAACCTGCGTGGCAGCTGCCCTCGCCGAATACGCCGCCCCAGCTTACCCAGCACACCATGCTTATGCCGCTGAACACTCGGCCCCGACCCCATACAACTTCGAATACAGCGTGAACGACCCACACTCATACGACGTCAAGAGCCAATCTGAATACAGCGACGGACACGGCAACGTCAAGGGATCGTACAGCCTTCTGGAAGCCGACGGTTCCACCCGCGTCGTCGAATACACCGCCGACGACCACAGCGGTTTCAACGCCGAAGTCAAGAAAATCGAAGGGCATAGCCACGGTTACAGCGCACCAGCCTACAAATCCGCCCCAGCCTACAAATCCGCCCCAGCTTACAAATCCGCACCGGCCTCATACGCTGGACACTCTTACGCCGCCCCGGCCGCATACGCTGGACACTCTTACGCCGCCCCGGCCGCATACGCTGGACACTCTTACGCCGCCCCAGCTCACTCTTATGCCGCCCCAGCACACTCTTACGCCGCCCCAGCTCACTCTTACTCTGCTCCAGCTCACTCTTATGC